AAATCGTAGTTTCCTTACTGCCATAAGTCGTTCTTTTTCCTTACCCTCTTTATCAATGGTAAGACAATACACAGTTAAAGTTGCACTCCCTCACGTAAGCATATAATAGCTCACATAATTTCAACAGCTGGGCAAGTATAGTGCACACTTCCAAATTTAGACAGACAATACTGTGTGAAAAATCACATCATAGCATCCAAACAAATACCTTTCACACCAGTATTCATTACAGATAATATATGCACACATTCACGGTTTCAAGCTACTACTCACAGAAAAGTCCAAATTATTGATTAATTCACTCCATAGATGATCATTACTGATCATCCATGCATTTATACTGCCCCTAAGGTAAGATACCAGTTGGAACCTTCTCAGTTCTAATTTACCTTGCTTGAGTCCCTTAAGCCGTGACTACGGCGTCCAATTCACTTTGATGAGATACCTATTAGAATTGGAAGATACCAATTGGACTCAAGACATACGACAAGTGACAACTCACATGAAAGGAGAGAAGAAATGGAACGACTTCCTAGAATGTTGCATAGCTTCCTGAAGATTAGATGTGGACTTCAACACACCAATCCGCATGAGTCTATTCCACATTTTCCCTTGTATTGAGAGACCGGTAACCTAGGCTCTAATACCAATTTGTCACGACCCAATCCACCGGGCCATGCAGGCACCTACTCTACCACCTAAGTAGGAGAACCCTCGATTCCCAAATAGTTAAAGACATACGTAAGACTAAGAAAAGTGGAGATAAATAACATTAATGATATTTTTATAAAATAAAGAGTTTTCAACGATTCAAGTTAAAACTTGTAAAGTAATTAACACCCATGGATCTAGTCTAAATAGGTACAAGAGCTTCTAAGATTACAAGGTAGAAAATATAGTAACAAATGACACAACTCCTACCACAGGAAAGGAAGAGTAGAAGCTGTTGGAGACTGTTTTCGTCTTCACCTATGAAATATCACTGACGTTGCAACCCGACTATGCCAAAAGTCATAGAAAAAGTACTATCAGTACAAAGCACACGTACTGGTAGGCATCATCGGTCAACCCGATACCCACCGCATAATATAAAGTAATCAACTAACAGAAAACACGCAATAAGAAAGTACACCCCTCAACCTTTGTACTCTGCCTTTGCCTTTCCCATATACCTTAAAACATACTAGCACTATTTACACTAACCCCTTATTCACTCTGATCTGGATCATAGCTTAACCATTCTCTCTCATAGAAGAGTCCCCGAATACAATAACTACCAATTAGGATGATCACTCACAACGCACCCATGCTTCTTTCACATCACTACACAACCCTTGACCCCATAGTGCATTCCATCAAGGCTTGCTAACCATTTAAATACAAATCCCCTTCCCAAGGTAGAGTCTAACTACTAATTAGATCATAACCCTACTCTACTCCTCACTATTTAAGAACTCAGACAACCTCTCTAACCCTATTTCATAATGACACCTAGACCCTCGGTCTTTTCTCACTAGTCCACATATCGGTGGGCTCGCTCATTCTAAATCAATCCCAATAACTAGATATAATCCATTAAATTACAACACGGTAAACCCGCTTATACAAGATGCATAAATCAATTATCTTTTAAGGGTACATAGAATTTCCAATATACATGACAAGTAGACATAAACATAATAATCATAAGTGATTCTCTCATGGAACCCACACCTAAACTGTTAGTGTGTCGAAACGTATGTGTCCGATCGTGACACCCGGTCCAAAGTATGTGTCGAAACGTGACACTTGATCCAATATATATGTCAGAACATGACATCCGATCCAATAGATATGTTGAATGTGACACTGGATCCAGTCAGCACAACCACAATCATAATCACATCCATATGGAACAATACTCATTATCTTACAATCAAGTAATAGGTTCATGGCATGTGATTATTCATATACATATACGCATTTGCATTAGATTTGATTTTTATAACTCGTTCTCATACATTTATGCATATAACGAAGCCATTAACCGACATATATCTCACAAACAAGAAATCAAATCATCATCTTACCCTAGCTCAGAAGACGAGATTTTTCCTCATGATACACATTATCTTTAGCAACTAGGGTACATGTACAATCCTCCCTTTTCAATGCCAGAAGTCCTACGTATGAATTCTACCGTTAATTAGAAATACACTACGCAGCGAGCACAAATTTACTACTACTCAAGTAAATAAACCTAGCCTACCTGGGAGCCAAGAAGTTGCATAGGCTAATGGCTCCAATCCTGGTTTTCGGACCTCGAGACGGTGGATTTGACCATGAATCTGCAGGCTATCATCATCCTTGTGCTAGAAATCTCTTCCTCTTTCTTTCCCAAGCCTAAAGCAACCTTTTGAGGGTTTCTAGGGTGATCATTGCCTCTTTTTGGTATTTTGGGGAAAAGGAGAAAATAAGAATTCGCGCATCTAAGTTCTTCCCCCGACCTTCCCGCTTTGGCGCTTTCTGTCCTGCAGGAGCGTCTCCGCCTTAGCGGCATCTGTTCCACTCTGGCAGGATGATGGGCCCAGTTCTCCAAACATTTTTCCTTTCCTAAATAATGACGGTTCGGGTCGTTACAGTTTTCGACTGGGGTTGTGCTAACTGGATCGGTTGTCACGTTTTGACACATATATTAGAACAGGTGTCATGTTTTGACACATATTTGATGGGGTGTCATGTTTCGACACATGTATATTGGATCGGGTGTCACTTGTCGATACACTAACAGTTTGGGTGTGGATTCAATGAGAGGACCACTTGTGATGATTTTGTTCATAGCTAATTGTCATTGAAATTGGGAAATTATATGTTCCTCCTTAAATGATAACGGAATTATGCTCTTTGTATATGTGTGCTCACTACATTGTAACTTTTTGTGTATATTGTGCTTACGGGAGTAGTTGTGTGATCCTACCAGTGCATTGTAGTTTTCTGTACTGATACTACACTTGCTCTTTCTTTTTTACTACAAGGAATCTTTAGGCGGCTACAGACAGACCTCGGTTAGGAGATCTTTGACCGCGACCGAATTCAAGGGTAAGCCAGTTCTTTCAGGCTGCCATGGATCCTTCTCTTGTTTAGTCCACTCTTTTCGGACTAAACTATTTGTTTAGGCTGTTTATGTTTAACTTTCGGGGTTGCACCCCTTTTCGTAGACTTGTTGGTTAACAGAGTTTTGGTACAATGACATTTAGTTCTAGGGGTTGAATTTTCACAAATAGTTGTTGGTTTAGACCTTCGGAGTTTATGGGAACTCCGTATTTTATTTAGTCATTTAAACCTTCTTCCGTATCTTTAAATACTTTAGTTTCTTAAAACTTCTTAGTTGAGTTGTAGTAATGGTTCTCCCACAAGAGGGTTAGTATGGGTGTTAATCACGATGGTCTGGGTCGTGACAAAGTTGTATCAGAGCCCTAGGTTCGTTAATCTCATTGTACCAAAATGAGTCTAGTAAAGTCTTAAAGAACGGTAAGGAGACATCAATATTTTTTCTTCGAGAGGCTATAGGACTTTATGAAATCTCTCTATCTTATATTCTCTTTTTGTGGTATGACTGGATTCCAATTGGTAACTGGTGATCCAAATTAGTATCTAATCACTTTCACTCTTTTGTCAATGGATGGTTAACACGCGATACAACAACGTTAGGCTGTAACTCCCATCAATGAGCTAGCAGAGGAGTCCGCAGCTAGAGGCTGTGGTAGAGGTAGGGGTAGGGAAAGAGGAAGGGGCAGAGGCTGAGGAAGATTGGCACCCGTCAGAGGTGGAGCCCCAGCTAAGAATGTTCCTTAGGGAGAGGTCCCTCATGCACCCCAATAAAGGGTAGAAGAGAATGTGGAGATCAAAGACGAGGAGGATGTTGGACCAGAGGAGGGTGCACCGGCTAGGAATACCAGCATTCCTCCCTTAGACCCAGTGTTAGCTAAGCAAATCATTTCTTTTCTGGATGGGTTGGTCGGCCTAGGAGTCCTTCCAACCGTACAAGCTGCTCAACCTCCGATCAACCGCCCCGTAACTGCTACTATCCCAGGGTGGATGGAGCATTAGGCACTAATGCCTTTTTTCGTCCGCTATTAGGTCCTGTGATGACTAGTACTGAGCATGACATGTTGACTAAGTTTTTGAAGTTGAAGTCACCTGTGTTCCATGGTTCTGAGAGCGAGGATGCCTATGAGTTCATTCCGGATTGCTATGAGAGGTTTCACAAGTTAGGCATTGTACACTAGCATGGAGTAGAATTAAGGAACTTTTAGCTTCAAGGTGAGACAAAGCAGTGGTGGAGGGGCTATGTGGAATGCAGGTCGCCAGTCTTGTCCCCTCTCACTTGGATGTAGTTTTATGCTCTGTTCCTGGAGAAGTATGTGCCCCGGACTTTGCGGGACCGAAAGAATGATGAGTTTATGGATTTAGAGCAAGGTGGTATGACTATAGCTACCTATGAGGCGAAGTTACATACTTGTCTAGATATGCTACCCAGTTGGTCCCCTACAGAGAACGAGAGGATTCATCTATTTGTCAAGGGATTGAACCCTGAGTTGCAAGTATTGTCTGTTCACATGACCTCTGCAGGTAAATGTTTTAATGAGGTGACTGACTTTGTGTAGAAAGTGGAAGGAGTTAGACTTGATGGGCAGGCCAAGGCCTTGGCTAAGAGGCCTAAGAGAACAGGTAACTTTCATGGTTCTTACTCCAGAGGTTCAGGTAGGCCGATAATTGCAGCCCAGCCATTTCAGTCAGCCCTGCTGCTTCTACAGGTAGCTACTCGAGAACTCTACAGCAAAATTCCATTCAGGATAGTCAGGGATCCGCACCTGCGTCAGACAGCAGGCCATCTTTTGACTACAGTATTTACAATTTTGGAGAACCTAGGCATATGAGGAGGGATTGTCCCCATCCGTGCATGTCTGACCCCATGCAGCAACAGGCTAGAGCAGTGGTACCAGCAGGAAGCGGTAGTAATGGCAGAGGATGTCCACATGGTGGAAGAGGAGGAAATTTGTGAGGTCGTGGAGGCTGGGGAAATGGTAATGCAGGTAGAGGATAAGTGCAGCCAGGTAAGGAGGTTTCCCATCAAGATGACAGGGCTCAGTTTAATGCCTTTCCGGGTAAGACTGCGGTTGAGGTGTATAATGAAGTGATCACAGGTACTATTCTTGTCTGTGACCGAATGGCTACTGTTTTGTTTGATCTAGGTTCTACTTTTTCATATGAGTCAATTCAATTTGCCTTGGAATTTGAGGCGGTATGTGATGTGCTTGATTCCCTCATCCATGTTTCTTCCCCAGTTGGAGAGTGTCATAGTCACCAATGTGTATCGCGCTTGTCTTATTTTCTTTATAGGTTTTCAGACTTGGGTTGACTTGGTTATTTTGGATATGACTGACTTTGATATAATCTTAGACATGACTTTGTTGTCCCTCTATTATGCTATGCTTAATTGTAATGCTAAGTCTACGACTCTAGAGATCCTGGGTAGGGAAAAGTTAGAGTGGGAAGGGGTATATAAGCCTAAGCCAGCTAAGGTGAATCTTTCATTCGGGCTAGAAAATTGGTGGGGAATGGGTGTTTGGCTTATCTGGCTCATATTCGGGATGTTGATGTTGACTCTCCCTCTGTTGAGTCTATTCATGTAGTGTCTGAATTCAAGGAAGTGTTTCCTACCAATTTGCCTGCTATGCCTCTAGTTAGGGATATAGATTTCTGCATTGACTTGGAACCAGACACTCTCCCCATCTCCAGTCCTCCTTATCGCATGACTCCGGCAGAAATAAAAGAGCTTAAAGCTCAAATCCAGGAGCTTCTTGATAAAGGTTTCATCCATCCTAGTGCCTCCCCGTGGGGTTCTCCTGTCTTGTTTGTTAAGAAGATGGATGGTATTATGAGGATGTGCATAGACTACCGGCAGTTGAATACGGTCACCATTCGAAATAAGTATATGTTGCCTCGAATAGATGATTTTTTGAATAATTGCAGGGTGCGTCAGTTTTCTCTAAGATTAATCTAAGGTCCGCTTACCATCAGTTAAATATTAGGACTGAGGATGTACCCAAAACGGCATTTAGGACCCGATATGGGCACTGTGAATTTTTAGTGATGTCGTTTAGGTTGGCCAATGTGCCTGCAGCCTTCATTAGTTTGATGAATGGTGTGGTTAAACCATTCCAGGATTATTTTGTCATTATATTTGTTGATGACATTTTGGTTTATTCAAAGAGTAAGGAAGAGCATGCCGACCATCTTCGTATTATTTTGGGCGTTCTTGGAAAACAGGAGTTGTATGCCAAATTTTCCAAGTGTGAGTTTTGGTTGACTTCAGTTGCCTTCTTGGGGCATGTGGTTTCAAATGAAGGGATAATGGTAGATCCTCAAAATATCGAAGTAGCCAAGAATTGGGTCCGGCCTGGCTCTGTGACTGAAGTTAGGAGTTTCGTGGGGCTCGCCAGCTACTATCGTCGGTTTGTGAATATGTTTGCTTCTATCGCAATGCATTTTACAAGGTTGACTAAAAAGAAGGTGCCTTTCAAGTGGACTGACAAATGTGAAGAGCGTTTTCATAAGCTCAAGACTCTTCTAACCACAGAACGTATTATGACCTTGCCGGTGGAAGGTTAAGATATCATTATTTATTGTGATGATTCGCATTCGGGCATCGGTGTTGTGTTGATGTAGAAAAGAAATGTCATAGCTTATGCATCACGACAGCTGAAGGTGCATGAAAAAAATGTCACATTCCGACACATGTATATCGGATCGGGTGTCACGTTCTGACACATTAACAGTTTGGGTGTGGGTTCCATGAGAGGACCACTTGTGAATTTCGTTCATAGCTAATTGTCATTGAAATTTGGAAATTGTATGTTGCTCCTAAAATGATAACTGAATTATGTTTTCTATATATGTGTGCCTACTGCGTTGTAAATGCTTGTGTATATTGTGCTTATGGGAGCATCTGCGTGATCCTACGAGTACACCGTGGTTTCGTGTACTGATACTACACTTGCTCTTTTTTTTTTAGTAGATGGCATCTTCAGGCGGCTATCGACAAACCTTAGCTAGGAGATTTTTGTCCGCTACCAGATTCAAGGATGAGCCAGTTCTTTCAGGCAGCCATGGATATTTCTCTTGTTTAGTCCACTCTTTTCAGACTCAGACTATATGTTTAGGTTGTTTATGTTTAGCTTTCGGGGTTGCACCCCCTTTTCTTAGACTTGTTGGTTAATAGAGTTTTGGTACAATGACTTTCAGTTCTAAGGGTTGAATTTCTGCAAATAGTTGTTGGTTTAGACCTTCGGAGTTTATGGGAACTCAATATTTTATTTAGTAATTTAAACTCACTTTCGTATCTTTAAATTCTTTAGTTTCTTAAAATTTCTTAGTTAGGTTGTAGTAATGGTTCTCCCAACGGAGGATTAGTGTGGGTGCCAATCACGGCTGTCTGGGTCATGGCAAAAATTTTGAAACTTCTGATTTTAAAAATCTTTAGATATTTGTGTGACATTTAGTAATTTCATTAAGACTAAAAGGGGAATCATAAATTTTAATTATTTTTAATTATTGTAAGGTGACATTCTTTTGGGGATGGACAAAAAAGGAAAGGGTGACACATAAATCGGAGAGATGGATCATTTGCTTTCTAGTTGAAAATAATATTTCAAATTTTGAGTTGTGTTTAGACACTACCATAAATTGGAATTGTTTTGCTGAATTTTTTCAGTGATTTGAAGTCAAAATGTTAAAATAAAATTTTGGAATTTTTTCAAATTTAGAAAGCGATAAATTCTGAAAAATTGCTATAGTTCTATGTCGATACAATTTTTTGAACAAACACTAGGAAAAGAGGTATAAACTATTTATGCTCGAATGGGCACTAGCTTTTGTTCTATGAGCATATATAGCAATGTTCCGCACTAACTGTTTACTCCAAGTCAATGAATACATTACACATATGACATATCTTAACTTACACTTTTATAGATAACCATAATTATTTAATGCATTGTTGTCTTTTTGATCTTATAAAAGGTTCTGGTCGTCTGAATTTTTGACTTACACTTTTATAGATAACCATAATTATTTAATACATTATTGTATTTTGGATCTTATAAAAGGTTCTGGTCCTCTGAATTTTTGTCATATGGGACAAGTCAATAGAGTATAGTTGTAAAGCTGCAAAAACTGTAGTGGTTGATGGGCACTGCAATCGAGGCGCAGAAAGGACATCAAACAATGACCAATGGCGTTCCTCCTAGGTTTTAGTCTCTCTAACAAAGAAAATAGAAGACAAGTAACAACCTAGTTTTTGCTATTATTCCACTTTCTAAATTATTAGTTTTTGCTATGATCCCACTTTCAGCTTCCTTCCCGCATGCAATGGACAACTCAAATAGGTAATGGGAAATACTGGACATCTAAATTGTTGTCTTATTATTTTGGGGAATTTTGAACTATTCATTTAACTATAGTTAATTAATTGACGTGTATTTATTAAATAACTAATTTTAGTTAATGCTTAATGGGTCATTGATACGCTCAAATTACACCTCTGCATAAGCGATAGTTATCAAGTAATGAACCCAAATTGTTGGTTGGGGTCGATCCTACGAGGAATATGGTTTAGACTTAAACTTAACTTACAATTGTCTCTTTTTTAGTCAAACTATTTTCGAGAAAAGTAAGCAGGGAGTTTGTGTAACTAAAGTAACAGATTGTTGATTTGCATCAATAAGTAACAAGTAAACAAGATTCATAGTTTGAGATATCAATATATGATTGAAACTAGGGTATATGTGTTCCCCACAGGCTCTTAACGTAGTAATCCTAATTAAATTCATAATTAGGTTAATAGAATTCATAAACTTACCATTCAAATAGATGAAAACCGAAATCTTGAATTGAAATTCAAAGTATACTTGCATAAACCAACTTCCAAAATTAAATTGCTAAGAGTTTGCAAAATAATTCCAAAAGACCAAAACAAAAGTATACAAAATTGAAAACGAAAAATACAACCCATATTTATAGAGTTTAAATCCTAAACCAACTAGGAAACAAAATAAGGAAAATTAGTCTAGGACGCGGTTTTGACTAACGGCAAGACCTACGGCCCGTGGTCTACCTCCGTGGACCAACACTTCAAAAATAATTCAGGTATTGGTACTTCAACTTTCTGATCACAAACGACGGATGTGCAGGACGGGTCGTCACTAGACCTACAGTCTGTCGTTAGCTTTGTGGTTTCACACTTCTTCATATTTCCCTTTTCTTCAACCTATGATGCGCTACCTATGAGCAGTCACTGGACCTATGATCCGTGGTTGGCTATATTGGTTGTTGCTGCTGCCAATTTTAGTCTCATTTTCACTCAACTGCTTCCAAACCAATTTGCAAAAGAGTACATAAAAACATTATTTCTAATAACAAAATAGCTCAAGACACACACAAACTCTAACTGAAATGCATCGACAGTACCGTAAACGCACGGTATATCAACACCCTCAACTTAAACTTGTTGTTTATCCTCAAGCGACACACTAAAACTATAAACGACACTTATGTAGAAGAAAGCACACAAACTCGAGCAATCATATGGCTTTCTCAATGAACTCCATCACTTAGTACAAATCTTTTCATCTTGACTCAACAAGCTAGCTCATGTTGATCAAAACATGACATAGACAAACCAATAGACATCAAAACATACACTTTTCAACAATCACCAAGGTACCAATTCTCCAACAATGTAACTAGTGCTCTCACTTCAAAGAAATCTTTTTTCACACCATAAATCTGATTTTTAAGTTTAAGGAATCAATCAACACTCACACTCAGAAGTGAATTCAAATACAGTTAGTGCTCAATACCATAAGCTTGCCCTTATTTTCTCTGCACAGATGTGACTTTGACTTTTTCGCTCTTCTTTTTTTCACATATTTTTACTTCTTGTTTCTTTGTTTCTTATCATTATTATTATTCTTTTTGTTTCTTATGACTTCAGTCACATCTTTTTCTATCTTTTTCTTTCTTCTACACACAACTCTTTTCATATCCTTTTCTTTCGATTTCCTTTTTCGTTGCCACCCTCAAATTATGTATTTTACATGAGTTGAGGTGCACAATATCCAATGTCAGAGCAGGGCCAAGATTAAGGTAACGTTTTGAATTAGACACCCTCAACTTAGGCTTTTGGCCTAAGTTAAGGTGCACATGTCAATAGAGGGCCCAGGGTCAAAACAGTCTTTTAGGGAAGGTGAGTCAGGTGTATTGAAATAAGTGGTCTATTTTAGGCAAAAACATTTGGATTAAAGGGAGCATTGATTTATTTTGATTGAAATATTTTAGGCTTAAGTGGACTCATTTGAACAAGGGCCTATGATCATTTCCCAATTCCTAGCCTAGATTGTCTTAATAGGTCCAATGGGGCATGTTCTAGATTGGCACATACAATATGAATATACAAAATCCAGTCACACACAGTTGGCAGATTGTTTCATTACCGGATTATTGAATTACCCAGATCAAGTTTTACCTTAAGTCATGCTATCATACCAGTTCCTTATCATGTCACGTGAAGATCTAACACATTCAACTCATCAAACCTATAGATCTAGCACATTTCAAAATTTTGGACAGGTATTAATTTCATGCTCTTATGCCATCATACGTTCATTCTTCTACTTACTTCTACACATACAATCCTAAACATGTTGGTTCAATAATAAAGCAAATCAGTCCCTTGGGGAAAAAGAACATACGCAAGAAAACCCCAAGCGAGGATCATGAGTTGGGTTACTCAGACTTCACCCTATCACTCACAACCCATTTACCCCACCCCCAATAAAATATGGTGCAATTTCCCTCAATGATCGAATAAAATAAAAGTAAAGTGTAGGGTGAAGCAAACTTGTGGCGCATATGCGTCAAAGATCCATCAAGAGATGGATGGGTCTGGTTTCCCAGAACCCGCTGGATCAGCAACAGGGACATCATCAGTAATGCCCTCATCAATAGTAGGAACACCATCAGTAGTGCTCCTCAAACCCAATGCACCAGCAAACTCCATCTCACGAGCTCTCCTCTAACGCAACTCCTCCTCAAACAAATACTGTCTCTAGGCAGCCTCAATCTCCTCCCTCTCCCTTTTTTTAGCTCGGCGAGCCACATCAGCATCAGAAGTATGTATAGAAGAATGGTGGCACTTCACATGTGATCGGGAAAGGAGGGGTCGGGTGGTGGTACATTATTGCTAAAAAGGTCAGTCATCACAACCTCATCCTCTTCAACCTCAGGTGCAGCCTTCGATACAATCTCAACAGGGGCTAGAAGGGCAGCAACATCCGAACGGAGGCTAGCCAACTCATTTTGGAAAGTGGTGATGTTAATGATAGGTGTAAGCCTCTCCAACACTCTCAACTCAAAGGCATCTAGGCGCTGGTGGACTTCCTGAATCTTTCTATCCATCATCTGCTCCATATGAGCCTAAGACTCCTCAACAGATCGCAACATCCAAGGCCTCATGTGCTGCAGCAGAGTGGCCATTTGTGTCTCTAACTTCTGGACTCGAGATAGAGGAACTACAGTGGACCTTGAAGAGGGAGTGGCTCTGGATGAACTCG